TGTGGGACAGTCCACTTTAATTAGGGGGTGATGTGGGACAGTCCACTTTAATTAGGGGGTGATGTGGGAAAGTCCACTTTAATTAGGGGGAGTTGTGGGAGAGCCCACTTTAATTGGTGATTGTCCACTTTAAGTGCAGGGTGTGTGAGAGAGTCTGTGCTGCTTCCAAGCTACTTACAGAACTGGGAGATGGGTGCATCCAGCTGGGGTGCTGTGCCCCCCTTGGCGTTGAGCTTCTGGACTTGGGTGGGGGGAACAGGCTTGTGGGACTGCCCCGTGGCCCGGTACATGGCCTGAACCCACAGGATGCGGTCCTGCTCATCGTCGCTGGCGAAGATCACGGTGTCACCCTCCCTCACGGCATTAAAGAATGCCCTACCGCCATCCAGACCTGTCAGTAGGGGGCGCCGGGTGGTGGGGAAGGGTTGTCAGAGGGAAACGCTCTTTAAAATCCTGGATCACGCTCACGACCTCCCAGTCCCATGGCCAGTGACTGCAAACAAATCCTCCCGCTGCTCTCGGCGATTATTTTATCACTCAAGCTGCTTAAATTCTCTACAAGAAGGCTCTCAGACTCCTCGTCGCGCATTGATTGTGGGACGCGATTATCCTGCTGGCTGTCATCACGCAGAAGCTGCGTTATGACCTCAGTCACTAAGCTGCAGGTAAGACAAACAGTGAAGCCAGGAACCACTCCGCCAGGACCAGGGCGCTAGGGGAACCCCCCCTCCCCCAGTATTTCATTTGGTTTCATTCATCCCCCTAATAAAAAGACTTTGGTATTTTAATTATTATGTCCCCCCAAAATTTAAATCTCTCCTATGCCGATGACTCCCACTTGTCAGTTCATATCATTTTCATGCGCTGGTAACAATCTATGCTGTACTCCTATCCAAAGAGATCCTCATTATTCCTAACAGGACTGGGATTGTTCTGAGAGCAAACACCACCTAGTGGTCAAAAGACTACTTTGCGGCTCAGTACTGAAGCTGCCTGGCATGCATTTGTAAAGTCAATGGTGTTATACAGAAAGAAATTAAACAGTAATAAATATGATTTTTAGTGACATTTACAACTGGCTGAATATTCCATCCATCGTATCCCATAGAGGGTCAAAGTGGATATTTAAAGAACTTTTATTACAGAGAAAAACCGTAAAGACAGGAGCTGGACTGAAAGGGCAGCAGGGCTACCTGGCTGGGGGTCGGTGTAATCCACCGTGTAGCCGTCCAGCTGCAGCAGCTCCTGCGGTTCAGACTTCTTCTCCCGGTAGCTGCACATGGCAAATGTATACTGGCTGACCTACAGGTGGCAGCAGAGAGTCAAGAGGTTAGGGTCATGGGGAGAGGGTCACAAGGACCAACCAGCTTGTCTGCTTGTATGTTCTGGCAAGCAGGTTGTGAACAGTGAGGAATTATGGTGGTGGAGTGGGGCAGAGAGTGACAGACGGCACGGCTTTTACAAACTGTGCGAGCGGGGCTTGTGCCCATCGTGCACTGTACCATTCCACGTGTGTGTGCATAATCAAGGCTGCATACTAAATAAATAAATGGAGGAGATGTGGGGGCTCTCAGGATGAGACAGGAGAAGCCAGGAGCATGGGGGCAGGGAGGAAGGTAGGCGGGGCAGGTGCCAGCGAGGCTGGCATGTGGTGGCGATGGGGCTGGACGCGGCAGAGATGGGGTAGGATGCAGTGATGAGGTAGGATGCAGTGATGAGGTAGGACGTGGTGTAGACAGGGCGGGGAACAGCAGTGACGGAGCAGGACATGACAATGGGACAGGATGTGGTGATGGAGCAGGATGCAGCAACAGCAGGGCAGGACATGGTGGAGACGGGGCAGGACGCAGTGACAATAGGGCAGGACGCAGTGACAATGGGCAGGATGTGGTGATGGAGCAGGATGCAGCAACAGCAGGGCAGGACATGGTGGAGACGGGGCAGGACGCAGTGACAATAGGGCAGGACGCAGCAGCGACAGAACAGGATGTGGTGCTGCAGCTGTCACTCAGACCAGACGAGTCACAGGAGTGACACTCTGTCACAAACAATGTGAGCCGCATCGTGAAGTGCAAGTCGTATCGGGGCGATCTCCACGTCGCGGCACGATTGTCACCTTCCCTGCAAATGGCAGCTCTAGCTCGCTTTGCCTCTGCGTGACACTACGAATTCAACGTCACGCTGGTGATGCGGGCTAGGCCCAGCCGCGGGGCGAGGGGGGGCATGCCGAGGCCCCAGCACCTGGCTGAACGATGCTGGAAGGCCTGGGCCCTACGCTGAAGTTTGGGCCTGTTAAGAGCCGTCGGCACGGAAGTGCGGGATTTTGTATCCCACGGGCCGGTGACCTGCTGTCAAACCGGCGCTTAAAGGATTTTAAATGACTTTGCTCCTGATTACCCTACATGCTTTGCTCTTTTAAATAACCTTGTTATTGTTGGCAGTCTATAAATTGCACTGTGAAGCGGGCGGCCTCAATCGATGCAGCACTCGGCCGCTTTGCTCTGTGTGTAGTCAGAGACTCCCCCCCCCAACCAGCCCCCCAAGTCACATGGAACATTACCATATTCAACTGCTTAAGACTTTTGTTCAAAACCAGCAAATTAACGCAGGGGGAGGGGGGGTGAATTGTGTTCAAGGGCTGTTTTTAAGGGTATCCCCCTGACTTTGGAATAAATAGCTTCACTTTGTGTCATAAATATTGGGCTTACAGCTCTGATTTGTTTGGGTCGACGGTGACATGTAGTGGCATTCAGCTAGAACTACATGCAGGATACGCCGTGTGCGGGGTGCGGGGGGGGGGCTAAAAGCGATTCATCAACACCCTCTTCAGTTGAAACAGTTTCACAGTTTATTACCAAGTCGACATAGCAACTTCGAGCAATCCTATATACCGCTGTTTTAACTCACCAGTTTTTTTCCCACTTTCATTTGCTATGAAACAAAGGGGACCGCAGCACAGAGAGATTGCGGGGGGCGTATTTACACCGCAGCTGTCCCTGTGCGGCCCTTCGGGCGGCCGCAGGTCCTCACACCCGCTCTTCGCTGGGCCTCACCGGCAGCTCCCGAAAGCTCCTATAATGCATTTACAGGAACTCGCAGCAAAGTCCTGCAGGCTCTAATTTAAGCCATTAACTTCACGGTGAGCGAACCATGAAACACGAGCGGCGGAGACATTCGTATTAAAAGTAATAACTTTTGGTTTGCATGGCCATGGTTTAAAAAACTGAAAATCTGACATATGAGATTATGATCCAAAGGGATACCAGGATATACGCATAAAAATAATAATGGTTAATATTCTAAAAAGGATTGTAGTCTAAATTCACCATCATGTGTAAATTATTTTTTTCAGCGATCCAATAGTTTATGGCCCTAAATGATGTTTGCGTTCTTAAAAAATCATCGTGAAAAGCGTCTTTTTCATTTCGCTATACAGACCCTGCGCTTCGGGTGGGGAGCGGATGCGCTTCGGGTGGGGAGTCCGTGCGGATGCGCTTCAACGAGTCCGCGGTTCGGGGGACCTGAGCATCGCCGCTCCCGTAACGTTATGGTGCCAGAAACACGGCGCAAAGGCCGCGATCAGAAAAGGAAAGGAGGGAAGAAGCAGAGGAGGCGGCCGGCTGACCGGCATTTGTCACTTGCTGTAAGTGTAGCTGGGAGCAAGACGCCAGCGCACCGCGCACAGACCTTTGGCTGGGAGTGTATTCGGGTTTGTCTATTCGCTGTCATCTCATAGCTCTCAGACACATCTACCCACTGCAGAGGAGACGCGGAGGCTGCACCAAATAAGCTGGAATAAATCAGCCCGTTCAACGAAAACGCGCCATTTAATGTCACGCCTTTTCATGTCTCTCAGTGATACAAACAAGGGTGTACCTATAATCAATACGTTTCGGAGTGACATTGTGGAGCAGTCTGTATAACTGGTGTGACGCTGATGGCTGCACGGAAATCTGATTGAATGTCACAATGCACCTCTCTTACTTACCTGGACCAGAACAAAGAACCTTTTCTTCCATCTCTTCCATACATTCTTTCCAATTGCCCAAAGATACCTGTGAAACACAGTACTCGGTAAACTCCCTAAGTGGAAAAAAAATCACCGAATAGTTGCCGTGAACAAAGAATGATTGTAATTTATTTAGAAAATCAGGCATATTTCGGAGACTGCTTTGCACGTCAAGGTTGCACGTTAAACAGAGATTACATAAACAGCATCTGTATTTTTACTAATGCCTGATTTGTTTGTACTGTGTACATATTTTTAGAAAGTGCAACACAAAAGAAAATTATCAATAAGTGACACAAGGCGTCACTCTAGTGCCCTCTAGTGGTGAATGAATGATTGGAGTTTTCATGAACAATTATTAGGTTGATGCAGTAATGCCTTTTTTCAGGTATTTTAAAAGAAGGATATTAGCGTTGTAGAAAGCTATGCTGATTTGTTTAATTCAATGGGAATACTGGCAATGTCTTTGCCTAACAATTGTGTTAGGCAAAAGCCCACTAGTTAAAGTGATTAGCAAGGTTCAGAGGATGTCTAAACCATAGCAACAGCATTTGCAGAGTTGATTGAGAGAGAGGTTTTGTATTTTCATTGAAACAATGCTTTTTGTTTTCCTATACACGCACAGAGAACTACAACGACCGATGGCCATCTTGACAAACTAACACAGAATGGCAGTGTGGCTCAACAGCCGGTATCTGAGGCCATGATGCTGGTCAGGGGAAAATATGACAGCGTCATAAGAATGCACCGGGGAGCAAGCAGGCTCCCGTTCCTGCCAATGCTGCACCGGGGAGCAAGCAGGCTCCCGTTCCTGCCAATGCTGCACCGGGGAGCAAGCAG